TTATGTCGGCTTTACCAACAACGTGGGACGGGATGAGCCGACACGAGTGTGCTCGTTGCGTCGTTTGTAGACGCTCCGGAGAATCAAGACGAGAAAAACAGGAGCTCTTGGATCCGCGAGCGGATTCGAGAAACCCCGCCCGCCAGCGAGCTCGCCGGAAGCTCCGGTGTGGAATCGAAGCAGCCGGTTGAGGTAGATGCCAGAACGCGAGATTCCGTGGCTCGCGGATCTGTCGAGAACGAGGAGCGGGAAACCGCAAGAATTTCCTTAGCGGCGCTCTCCGCTTCGGCGCGTACGACTGATATGAGGGCTGTTTCGAGCGCTCATGAAACTTTTCCACGAGAGTCAGTCTCTCGTTTCACTTTCGCCGATTGAGTCATCGAGCGTAGCGCTCACGCAGCGTTTCACAAATTGCTGCATTTCGTTGTAGCTGAAGAAAGAGGAAACGAGCGAGTTCCGAGAAGTCGACAGGATCTCATCGCCGCGATGACCCCCGCGCCTTGGCGTGGTCGAGTCGAACCCAGGGCCCCGACTCTGATATCACAGTCGAGCTCGAACTTTGACTCGACAGCCGCAGCTTACCCCGAAAAGCGGCTTCACCGAAAAAAAAACGAAAATACCGAATCATTGGCTCACGTCAGCGTCAGAATCACTCCAGGGAAGGATGGACATATTTCCTGAGTGAGACTTTCCTGAAACCACCCCTTTCCATCGTTTTTCCTGTTCCCATTCTCTGTCCCGCGTATGGATCTCGGAAACTGCGTCATTCCTCCCCGTCCGCGGCATCCGTGGACAACAGACTTGTCAACGGACTCGTTACCCCGCAGCGTGCGGGGCGGCGCTCCAGCTGAGTGACAGCATCGTGAATCGGAAAGTGAACCACGCTTGAACGAATTGCGAACAACTCGCAAGCAAGTTGTCCTGGTAGCCGAAACTTGTTCTTGTTCTTCCTTCTTGCTAAAATCATGACGGGGCTCCGAGCTGTTCCCCAGCGGCGAAGGGGGTGCGAGGTGAGGTTTTTTCCCCGGAATTCCCTTGCTCCTCTCCGCAGATATGTGCCCCTTGATATTCAGAGCTCGCGATGGAAAGAATTTCCAGTCGCGACTACAGCTGAGCGAGCCGCCGACGCCTTGCGTTTCGGGGAATCTCCAGTTCGCGGCTCCTCCGAAAGTTCCCTCCGCCTTCCAGGTTTGTCGTTTCCATGCGAGGGGCTTCGTTCGAGATAGTAGTGATGCGGCACCCGCTCGCTGAGAAATGAACGACAACATCTGCGTCCTCAACGAGTCGTGCTCGCTCCCTTGCGGTGCGCCTTTGCTCATTCTCGTTATCCTCATGCTCGGCATCGTTATTCAGCTCTCTTGCTTTTCGCACATAGCCCGCCCCCTTTATTCACCGCTGTCGACCAACGCTGCGCTGGCTCGCACCACGTGTCGTCCAGCTGTTGCCCCTCGTTCCTCGAGCTTCGCAGAAAAAAACATGCGCATGTACACGATAATCTCGAGTCAGCATTCAGTGGTCGACCCCCGACCTATCTAGTCTCCTCGTTCGGTCCGACGGCGACGGTTCATTCAGTCTTCAATGAGTCCACAGAAAAGCTGAGCTCCTTCCTTCTTTTCCCATATGTACGTTGAGCAGCGGCTGGAAACCCCGGAGTCGGTTGAGCCGTTATTCCGGATGAGCCTCGAGTCCGAGCGCCGCGGCCCGGAAGACCCGTCGGGGCAAAACGCCTTCGTCGTTTCAAATTCAGTGCGCGTTCCCAAGGATTCCGCGCCAAGCCACGGAGGAGCGAGTTTTTTGCTCCGGCAGATCGCACTTCTCGGTGGAGGTGCGAGGGAGAGACAACTGCGAGCGGAGTGGTCGTTTCGATGCAAAAGGGGAAATAGTCCGCAGGAACGACAGGAAAATAGGTACAAGCAAGCGAATCTTGACACAAATCTAACTTGGGGACACCTGCTAATTCGACGTAGAACGTCATGGAATGGCGTAACAGCTCGGCTTTTCTCGAAGTCAATCAACCATCATTGCACCGGACGATACTCACCGCTTGATTGCCTCGATGGCTTCTCTGTTTAGAGGAATCCAAGTTTCCGCGAGCAGAGAGATCTGACCCTCACGAGTTCACTCGTCTGCTGTCGTGCTGTTTCCTCCAATGGTCTCATTGGATTATGGCGATCAGGGGACACGTCCGACGGTAGGCCGATCTGACGGACGCCAAATCATTCAATGTCCCCTGTCTGCACCTCACGTGAGATCGATGACTGAGTCTGCGAAAAAACTCCACGTACGCAAATTGAGCTCACGGGCGACAGAATCTATAATGGCTTGCTCTCGAGTCTGAGGTAATCCCTGAATCACCTCCGCATCTCCGGGACATCATCCTCGATGGAGTTCCTTACTCCCTTTCACCGAAGAATCCAGACAATTTTCCGTCGATGTTGAAAGGAGGATTCTGCCCGGAAAACTCCCCCAGACTCTGGAGGAAAATCTTCAGAATATTTGTCCATTGTTCTATTCCCTCCTGAACTCTCCTCCCACGTTCGAACCGTCAAGGGCACCGGCACAAAAGGAAACTCAGAGTGCGCTCTGTCAAATCCTTGAATCTGTCGGTTTCTGCGGGCCGAGCTACGTCGGCACGCAATTCTGTAATTTGTGAAGACACGCCTGCTCGCTGGCCAGCCAGACAGCCAGCCAGCCTGGTAAGCTCGGGCACCCGTCTGCCTACCTAGCTACATACCTGCCTGCCTGGTGCAAGCAGGTACGGGCTTGCTAGCTAGCACGAACGATGTCTGTTCGTTCCCAAGTTTTACGTCATCTACGTGATCCGACCGCCAGACGTGATCGGATGGGTAGACTATTGCCTAGGCGGAGAGCTTCGAGCGAAACAATGCTTGTTACCCGAAAGTCATTCTGCTCCTCATGCACACCTAATCTTGTCCGAGAAGCAGAGTGTAGCACCTCCAGGTAACCTGGTTCGATCAATGCGAACCGCATACAAGCTCTCGATAAACGATCGACACTCGACGAATTCCAGCGGATTCGCGAGGAGCCCGAGTCGCGGAAGTGGAAATCATCTCGGAGCGTCGATCGCAAAACGCTTTTCCGGTGACGGAAATACTCGTCAACATTTCGAAATGTGTCATCGAGATCCGCCCAGAGACGAATTTCGTCGACGCGCGCCTCCTCGAGGTTCCTGAATGGGCTCTACCTCGCAACCGATTCCGTCGATCGAGATCGTTTCCTGCGTTCGGGAAATCTGGCAACACGACAACACGGTCTACGACATACGGCGCCTCACGTAGATCACTAAATCATAGTTGCGCCGCTAGCGATTATGTGGATTCTGCCTAATGAATGAGAGTATTCCAGTCTTCAAGAGTGAACGAGCGAGCGTTCAGCCTAACAGTCCGCTAGCTGGTCCTCCTGCACAATGGAATGAATAATGGCTACGCCGCAACTCGGGTGTTCGGATCAGACGGATGGGAGAGCCGGCTCATCTCGCGCTCTTCTACACGCAGCGCACTACGGCGAAGAACTCAAATGGGAGCGAAAAGCGAAAAAAGAAGAAATTGGGGAAAGGAGGCATGAAAGTAACGCAAGCGTGCGCAGCGCGAACGGCAGTCCACACGGAACCGGGCAAACAATGCTCGACTATAAGCTGTCAGGATGAATTGTTGGCAACATCCGGTATCGCCCCACTGAGCACCATATAGGAGTTCCAGCCAGCATTATCGTAGTACCTGTAGAGGAGGAGGGCTTCGGCGCGCCGCCCGGCGACGAGTACAACGCTTTCCTAGCAAGAGAGACAGAATAAAAGGAAACAGGAGAACGGCGACGCGAGAGGCTCTCAAAGCGAAAAGCTGAATCAGACAAAGCATCAGGTTGTCGTGTTAGCGACTGCAAGCGTGGAGAGAATCCCCCGAGGGAACGGGGAGCTCAGTCAGACCGACGTTTGATTCTAAGTGAATGAGCGAATGATTGATCAATGCGGCGAAGCCGAGAGAGCTTGGTCTCGATCCAACTGGAGAACTCTGCAATTTTCCACGGATGTCGCTTGCCAGTTGTTCCATCGTTGAGAGACACCTCGACGCATCATGGACAATCTGGGGGAGTTCAAGCGAGGGGACATATCCCTGGAGAGGGGCGAGGGGGAAAAGATCCTGCGGCGGGCGACGAGCTCCAGAAGTTCCAACCGGAAAGTTTCGCGAAGCAATTGTTCGCTTGCGACTATGCTCTCGTCTGAGAGTAGCATGCAAAAGAGCGCTAGACACCCACGGGAGGTCTCCGCTCCCACTTCCAATTGATCCTGCCCATTGTCTCCCCTGGAGTTGTTGCGCGCTCGCTCTTCCGCTCGTTTGTTCGCACGTTGTCCTCCCACTGGAGCATCGGATCACGTCGAGGAGCAGAGCCGCGCCGGAGGACGCTTTAAAAACCTTACAAGGGAAGTACCACTCGGTCGGTCCATCCGTGGATTTGGGTGTGCGCTACAACCTGTGGCGCTTGCGGACCGACTCACAGAGCGGAACGGATTCGAGAGACTCCAGACGACATCTCCGCAGAGCGACCGGGTCTAAAACAAGTTTCCCGAGTGCTCTGTAGTTCGTCTCTCCGATCCGCTGCGGAACGTGGAGCTTTGCAGAAGGTCCCCCGGGACCAGGGCTGAGCGGAGCTTTTGAAGTTCCCCCGCGATCAGTTTTTCCCCGCTCCTTAATTCTTGCGGTCACGAAGCGACCATGCTTTCGGAATGTTTCAGAGTTTTCCTCTGTTTCGAGTGCGGTCCGGCAAATACCGGACGCAGCAAGCGGAGGAATTTGCAGAGAACCGGAAATGCACGTTTCGATGGTGAACTTTGACGCTGGCGTCCAAGTTCATATCTGGCATCGCATCCCGTTAGCCGTGACGACGTGGGGCCACCTACTGACGTCACGGACCCCTCACTCCTGGTAGACGCATGCGCGAGGTGGGAAGGGCTCTCCGATTCACTCGGCTCGGCTTCAGCGAGCAGAACTCCAGCGCTCTTTCACGATGCCCGTCGTTTGAAGTGTTTTATCCGTTTGTTCGTACGTTCGTCCGTTGGATCGTCCGATCGTTGATCGGACCGTGAACTGGGCTGTTCGGCTGAAACGAGTGAGCTTCAGGTCGAGAGATCTGCGCTTGGATCACCGGCGGAGCCAGGAAATATAGAACGGCCATCCTGAGCTCCAGGCTGCCTTCAGCTCCAACAACATGCATCATCATTGGGATTTGAAGCTCGCCCGCGAGAGGCTCTGCAAGGAGGCCAAGTGAGTTCAGAAATAAACAAGGAAAAACGTTTGATTTTATTATTCAGTTGTCAACAAGCAGGACCGGTGTGGCGTCCGGAAGCGAAATTCGTATTTTTAGCCCCAGCTGGAGATATGACGTTGCTGCTCGAGCCGGCGTGTTGCTTTGCGCTCTCTGGCGAGGGTTCGACTTCGCTCGGTCTTCATTCGGAGGCTCGGAGAATTTTCATTCCTGAGAGTATCGTCGTTCATGGACGAGAGGAAACATTCCGACGAAAGACTCGCTGATGTGGTTCATTTTATTCACGAGTCTCGAACCATGCGTTGAAGTATTCATGAGTCTACTGAACCGAATGCGGATCATGAGATAGTAGCTTAACCCCATCATTAGACAGGCGGATCCGGTGACTAGAAATGACGTGGAACCGGATCTTCTGAGGTAGAAATGATGTCCCATCGATGGAGGGCGAGCCATGGTACCCGAGAAGTCTTTCTCCCACTGAGCTCCTGGTGGTATATCGATATGGGGCACTTATGGGGAGCGATTGAATCGGATTGGGGTTCCTATAATTTCCGAATGACTCTCAGAGTGTACCTTATGTCGGCCAATTATAATCTTCGCAACCTTGCCTAGGTACTTAAGAGTACTGAGTCACAGAGCCTAGAGGATTCTAGGATGTGGAACATTTTGAGAGCTTCTTCCGAAGACCTCATCGCATCGGACACGAGAGTTTTCTTCTCTTTCTGCTTCTCACCGTTCCCCTCTCAGTTGCTAAGAGCTCCCACCGCTCCTGTTTCCTTGCGCACAGGGAACGATTATGTTCCCTCCGGGAAGCGAAGCTGTATGGGAGGGACGGAAAGGGGGTAAATATGGCGCACCGCCGTGAAGCCGCATTGCGATAATGTGGTCGAGTTCATTCGACAAACACCGCAACGCGTGGAGGGTGGGAATCGCTCGATGCTTCGTTTCTCCCGAGACTCGCCGTGTTCCATGGCCATGGTTCTCCGATGGAGCAATGTTAGCTTGTATCGGCTATAGACGCCTGTATTTGCGCTTGTTGCATCCGACGGATCGAGTGCACTTCTCGTCATCATCTCCTTGCTTATTCGGCTTTTTTTGCGCGCCTGGCAAAGGGAGGTACAATCACTGGATTCGATGGGAAATTCAAGCCGGCCGGAAATTGATAACGAAAGATCCCCAAATAACGATCCAAGAATAGTCGTTTACCCCTGCATTCGATTCGAATCATCGATATTCACCCAACAGGAGCTCATCAACGAGACGTACTCCGAAGGTCAAACAACGATCGACCTCAGGCCAGGGACCTCGTCCCTAAATATGGGCGGACACGATTCGCACGAATCTGCACCGATCGAGTCCAGATCCTTTGAGCGGAACTCGCTCTCCCGGAGGCTTTCTCTCGAGGAAGAAATTTTCTGAATAATTCCCCTCAGTCAGCTCGAGTATTCGTTGGTCTGCCAGGACCCGGGACGCACACGGTATGGAATCGATGAACCCGGATATCTTCATACGGCATCCAGCTGTAAATTGTTGCTATGTGACCCTCCTCGAGCGGAGCGAGAGAACCGCACGTTCGAGCGTGAAAACGGCGGGCACACCACCGAGCCTCGCGAGAACGTCGGTGGACGTTCGAAAATCGCGCTCACTCTAAAAAAGAAAGTTGGCAGCTGCCATGCCTCGACGCTGACGATGCGGAGCCACGGAAGACGGATCTTGCGATGATTGACTGCGTTTTTACTCCAGCACTCTGCTCAGCTCTCGAGGCGGTTATCACTCGAGGTTTTTATGGGAGCAGCCTTCAGGTGGGAATGCCACGTCGGGCCTATGATCCCTCGTCGAACTCATGAGTTCGCAGAAAATCGGGCGATATCTCCCGGTTTCAGACGCGGCGAAGGTATAGAAGGGGGGGGAGGGTTGGCATCAGACCGCTCGGAGGTCTAAACAGAAGGTCGAACGGCGCATGTACCTGGTATACGTAGTTGCGAAACAGGTGATGTGCTTAGCGAGGCTTCGTCGATTGCATACCCAGCGCGAAAACGAAGATATGGAGAGAGTCTCGGATAGATTGAATGCCCGTAAGCGAGACGGGATTTGAGAGTTCATTTTTCGTCTCCGTCTGTGCGGTCGGTAGAAATGTGTCAAGTCCGTGCGCTTGGCCAGATCTATCGAGCGAATATCGCTCTCGGGTATCGCGGCGAGGTTCTGACTCTATTCGCTGGAGGAGGTCATCGGCTCCTTTCTCAATACTCGTTTCCTGCCTCTCGTCGCTGACGCAGCACAGAGTACTCAGAATCAGATACACAAAGGAAGAAGAGCTACATTGACCGGCTGTCGTCGTCGTCGTTGTTTCATGTTTATGGAGTGAGAGAGACTCAGCGACACTGTTGCGACCAGTACGAATGGGACGATGCGAACTCGGGCGAAGCCTGGGCCCCGAGCTTTGGAGAATTCTAACGATATTGTTACCGAGTTTTGGCCCGATGTCCTCGGCAAGAGGCTGCTGACAAAATGGAAAAACGCCTCAGAGGACTCCTCCCATTCGTCGGATATCTAATCCGGGGCTACGACCGCAGAGAGCTTTCTGACGATGGAAAAATGAAAATACTCGGCGCTCGGGCTTTCAGAGGCGGCATCGACGACCGACGCAGGCACCGTATCGGATTAGAGAGCACTTGAGTGCACCTCGCATCGATGCGTGGGTGCATGCGAGCAAGCGTGCCCGCCCGTATGCGTGTTTGCTTCCGTGCTTAGTCGTTCGCTTCTGGGAACCGGAATGAAAGGAGGGGATTTCAAAAGTGAGACTAAAATCTCAGATGTCTCCTCCGCACTGTTGGTTTCCACGGCAGGCGCCCGAGCGAAGGCCGACGGCGGACGGTAAAAGCATGCTGGAAGCGCTTATGCGATCCAAAATATCCTTTTATGTGTTCGGAAAATGTCTCTGCGCTCAGAATTCGATCCCATTCGGGAAGCTTCCGTCTCTCCTCTTTCCCCGCGCCATTCGGACCGACACGTCTCCGGGCGAGCTCCTAGGAAACGTTGACCACAATTCTTGAGGCGAAAGAAGAAGAATAACACCGAACGGATACCCGTTTCCCTCGGCTCGCGGGACCATAGGGAGCTTGTCACGTTCGTGAATCGTGGCGCTCCCTCCTGGATATTGTCATAGAAACATCGACGTTTCTCGAAAGTTTGGGCACGCCTTTATTTCCTGCAGGGGCGCTGGGGATTTTTTTCCTGCATTTTCCACGCGTGGACATCCCTCAGAGTTAGGGCTCTGTCCTACTGTTATCTCTGCTCGATGCTCCAGATTCAAGATGTATTATGTACTCTGGAAAGTTCTGCGGAGTCTTGACTGCCTCTCGTTCGTGGCGTGAACCGGCTGGGGGAACATGGGCGAGGGGAACACCCATCGACCTTACATCGAATGCGACGTGGCGGCGTCGGCCTGGACTAGCTTGTCGCTTACATATTGCGTCTGGTTGACTGACGTCGTAACCATGTTAACGAGTATACTATTCGTCGTGTACGACTCCTGCCTCGCCGCTAATCTCCGGCCGCGCAGCGGGCGACTGTGCAGCAACTCGACGAGCATTTCGTGCGAGCTTCGAGTCGTTTGTTTGGAATGGGAGAACGACGTAATCGAATTCCAATCGGAAACGGGTCCACGAAAGAGCGAACGATTCCTTATGGAACGACGTCGACGGTACTCCTCCACTCAAGCCCCTCACCTGCCGAGCCGCTCGACTTCGTTCAGGGTTCGCGAGCGCCCGTCATTACGACCCGAAAGGAATGGGGGGAGCCATTCGTGTCTCGACCCGCTCTGGTCGGGCCCGCGACGGCACATCGAAAGGAGTCGGGAGCCATAATTTATTTTTGTTGAGAATCTCAAGACTCCGCCGGGGAGCTCGCATGATTGCCTCCGCTTGCAATGAGCCAGCCGATCGTTCGAGGAAAAGTTCGGATGAAGATACACGCGAAGCAACACTTGCCATGATGTCGCACGCATGGAGATTCCCACTCGCTCTCGCATGTTTGCATTGTGCGCCGAATCGGTTCGCGGGGATTCACTGTCAGTGCGCTCCCCGTCTCCATTCCGTGCTCCTTTCATGAAACCAATGCCGCAGCCGCTGCCGTCGTCATCAAAAATGCGCAGCTGGCAGAAATCTCTTGTTTAAATATTCACGCTGTCGAATCAAATTGAAAACCCCCCCGTCGTGCCGCCTTCGATTCTCCCTCGTCAACCTGTGCCTGCCCGATTCGGAGTTCCATGAGCGAGACTCGAATCGTTCGCATCGATCGAATCATGCGATAATTACGCGTGTCTAGAGATCAAAGGAATGAGGGGAACGGCTGACGACAATGAACAGATGGGTTTCGACAAAGACGTCAAGCCCTAAGCGGATCCTCTTCGAATGGATACTTCTACCGCACTCCCAATTATTCGAGACTCTCGCCATGCGAGCTTTCTGTAGAATTTGGTCCGTCTGCCGGTAGGCCGGATCGGCTATCCGACAGGCAGACGCATTTTCCACCCAATATCCAGCCGAAGCTGGATGCCGGGACTTGATCGAGTGAAAGAACGACGGGTTGAACACCGCTGCCTGTGATCGTTCCAGTAATCCCTTACCAACACGAACGTTGCTTCCAATATCACGGGTGTAGACATTCCTTGAGGCTCTCTGCAGCGATTCAGGCTGCGATTCAGCTCTCTGAATACTCGCAACGAATGCTTTTCTGAACTGGCGGGCTGGCTCGAGCGCGATATGTGGGCTTCCCGACGGAAAGCAACTGCCTGGGGAAGGCTGTTCCAGGAAAAACATCCGAAGGGAGCATGGAAATATTGTGGTCGTGGCTCCAAATGACCTACTTCCGCTGAATTTCGAGCGGGTATCCGACAGGAAGAAAAAGCCCTCCTGATCGACCGCTGGCTCGATTGAAGCAACACGCCTAGTTTCCCGATTTCGCAATTCCGGCGGCTCCGAGCTCCGGAGGACGCATG